AATGAAAAAACATATTTCCCTCAGATTCCAATATGAGAAAGAGCAGAGTTACTGAAATTTGGAAGCCAATGAAGGTGTTACTGAACCAGCAAAATAGTTCATTTTCTATAATAGGCATTGTTTGGTAGCTGAAATGAAAAAAGCGTATGACTACAATAGATAATTATTTTTTTTTTAAGAACATAAGTTGTATAATTTAGGCTATTCATTTAACGACATATGGTGTTTATCTTCTCTTTGATTGTCTTAGGGAGTAGCATCTCAGTGTTTTGAATCAGAGTTTTATAACTTTTTAGAGTGCTATAACTTTTTTGTGAATTTATCGTTTTTATTATTTGATCATAATCTAATCCAATGCATTGAACACCATCATTGCTTTGATAACAAAGTAATATTTTTACATCTATGAACAATCATAAGTGCCAATTACCAAACCACAATACACCAAAACGAAGACCTATATCATGAACCTATATTAAACGTAGACTGATTAGAATCTAGAATCTAGTAATTAAATTATAGATTTACAAAACCAATGGTATTACAGCTGAAGACCGCAATTATGACCATATCAGCACTTCACAAACAATTACCCAGTCAATCACAACTCGAAATTTCAATAAATGCATTTCATAACTAAATCAATAATCTCCGACACTTGCCAATGTAAATCAGCATGCACTTATAATTTCAAATCAACACGAAACTCATAAAATAAATTACATCAAAAAAATTCCAGCATAAATTTACAAAAAGGAAAACAACACCTTAATCCAGCCTAGAGGAGCCGGAAGCTCAATTGCAACTACTTCGTTCTGTTTACTCTCCTCGTTGGTCTCCATTACTCAATTTCTCAAAGAGCAAGTTCTAATCAGAGGTTTTTTTCTAATTTGAAGATATCCCAAGCATGGCACTGTCAGACACCGAGATGATATTAAAACAAAATTGCACATGATCAGAGCCTCTTCACTGAAAAAATAATTTTTTCAATAAAACAATTGAGAGAAAACTTATGAATAAAATAAATGCAAAAAGAAGACAGAAAAAGCTTCTAAATAAAATAAATGTAAAAATGAGAAACGTAAAAAGAGTATTGAAAGTTATCAAACCTTATGCATGCAGAATTGGCCATAAATAGTATCTTCTTCACATGTATGACTACCCACGAGTGAAAGAGTCAATGAGGATGAAAGAAATCAAACCAGAGGCAAACTCAGTTTTAATCCGGTTAAGTTACAATACCTGTTTGCTTCATCTCAACACAATCACACTCCTTACAAAGTCTACATTATATATGCCATTAAATTGATTTCTTCTTCTTCTTCTGCATTGTTTCATCAAGCATAACAAGCCACAAGCAATAAAAATCAAAAATTGACTACAGGATCCTAAAGAAGCAATTCCCAACACAATCACCCGATTGAATCAAAATAATAAATCTTAATTAAAGAATATTAAAAAATAAAGGGATCCCAAAAAAAAGAAAAAACTGACGGACTGTGACAAGTAGATTCTTGATTTTTGGTCAAAACCCGTGAAATTAAATTTTTTCCCTTTCATGGATTTCACTTTCATATTGAACTTGTTAGAATGTAACAATAATGGTGTTAATGAATAAAGGGTACTCACAAATCGGTAGCGGGAGGCTACAGAAGTAGTGAGTGAGCGGTTTTGAAAACCAATTAGTAGTCTGCTAGTTAATCAGGAACACAAATTGTAAATGAGCATAACATATAATACCAAACAGAGTAAGTGAAACATACCTTAAGAACAGATTGAGGCCCATAATAGGAAATGAACTTCTATTTTTCGAAACAGTGAAATATATGTCATTGTTTGAAAACAGTAGATGAGCAGAATAGTTCTGAAGAGATTAAGCATTCCTAACAATTATCGGTTAGAATGAATTTTTTTGATTAGACGAATATGGAAATGTAAATTAGTTATGCAAAAAGTTTACCTCAACCGGCTCTTCCACTTAACAGATTTGTTCTTTTCAAGAAGGTCAATCTAGGCAACTCAAGTATAATGTTAAATCCTGAACAAATAATGAAGCAAACAGTTTATGCAGCTGGTATTTTTGAAGGAAAAGTATACGAGGGTATCTCATAAATTAATAGAGAAGAATAACAAAATGAATGCTTAATGGCTATTGTTCGAAGAAATTATTGTGTCGTGAATCATTAGAACGCAGAATAGATGGCATACCGTTTCCTGTAGCAATGCTTAAGGGAAAAGATGTGTAACAAATAGAAAACTAATTTGATGCAATCAATGAGTACAAAACATAAAAATAAGAAATAAAAAATGAAGCCACTCTCTTCTTTACTTGGTCAATTGAATTCCAATATATAGACGACTATTTACTTGTATTTGTTTTCTGTACAATCCAATTGAAAAATGCTGGATAGAATATAATTAAAATTGTATAAAAGGTTATTATGATGTAACTAAATGTCATAATGTTTTCCAATTCAAACTTACTGTTTTCTGGAAGTTAAATTTTGGTACGTTGCTGCTCATGGTTTTATTGATTTTATTCATGAGTCTATCCGGAGTCGAAGTATAAAGCACTACAGATAATTTAAGGCTTAGGCATTGGAAACAAAAAGAAAGCCAGCAGAAATGATCCCTAACTAATAGCTTTCATTTAAAATTTTCGCAGTCCAAAACTAATATAATTATTGCATCCTATTAAAATGTTATCTTCAATAGCTATCACAAACAAACAATCAAAAAAATCCAAGTAGGTGTATATGACCAAAAAAAATATAGAAGCCCAGTTGTAAAAAATATAAGAACAGTATAAATAAATCCAAGAATTTGCTATTTTTGACATTAAAAGAATGAAACCACCATCAGAATCTCTTTAAACGCCCATGTTAGCACATATATAAGGAAACACCTGCCAAAGGATGATGAAATGAAGGAGAATTCGAGTAAAAGAACTTCTTGCAATGACTTAAAATTCACAATTCCTGTTCTCTATGGTTGTAAACATCCATAATTAAGTTTATTTTGAAATGCACTTGGAAAAGAAACTTATACTGAACACCGAACATCAAAAGAAAAATGCAATTCTGAATTCGTTAAAATTTCTATTAATTAGAGAATGTTGGTACAGAGGATCCAACAAAATAAAGCATCATATTTTTCGAAGAAGGTACTGTTGAGAAATTAATCTAGCAACGGCAAGTTCTTTTCCTTTGGAGTTTGGTTCTACCCTAACCAACTACCAATTAGCCAAACATACCTTCACATTTTTCGAAGAAAATGAAGAAATGTTTCTTTTGTATCAGATCCTGTCTATTTTCCAAATTCATGTTTCGTCGACCCTTTAATCGAAAAACTGGTTCTCCAACTTTCAGTCATGCAAACCAGAAGCATACATACCAAGTAACTACGCTATCAAAAGTTTAAAGTTAAAATCTCACCAACCTTGTTGACACCCATGGGGACAGGAAGACTCGTGACAAGAGGGTTATCAGCATTCAAAACACAAATGTCCCCTGGCATTGCATCTCTCAAAATCTCCCCCTTTGCCATCGAAACCTCCTCCAAACTCGCGAAATTCTCCAAATGTGAAGCACCCACATTCAGAATCACCCTTACAGAGGGAGAGTTGGGGGGCGAATTAGGATTTGTGTGAAATTCAGTATTTGAGTATATATTTATCCTTCAATTCCCAAACAAAAATACAAATCTAGGTAATAAAATGCTCAATATTGCTAAAATTGAACAAATGTATTAAAAAAAGAAACCGTGCGTACCAATTTCAATGGATTTGGGTCCTCAAAATCAGATGACCTTCAACGTGACTGCAAAAATGAAATTCGAATTATGATAACGAAGAAGAAATCCAAAAATAAAGGAGGTGAAGAAGTTTAGGATTTGGTTTGCATCGCCCGGGAATAAGAAAAAACGTAGGATATGCAAGTATTGATAGCTTGCCTTCGATATAGGAAAACCGACATTGGTTCTTCAGATGCCAAATTCATGAGAGAGAAACGAAAACTAAGATATGAGATTGAAACAGATAGGGTTTTGGTGTGAGACTTCTATTGAAATCGGGATTTTAAAATTGGGGGAGAAGAGTCTGT